TGGTACCAACATCAAAGGCGCAAAAAGCGAAAAAACTTTCCTAATGACTTGATAATAAACACATGTCAGTCATTTCTCCTCTCAAGGCCGAAAAGACCTCAACACCTGTTTTATCTTAGCCAAATCATTGAAGTTCTACTTCAAAAATAACCATACGCGCTTCGCAGATACCGAAACTAGATCTGGAATCAGCAGTCAATGCTCCATAGGATAATATTCTCATATGAAAACACCACTTCGGCCAAGTATCCTTTCCTTGTAAGAGTCGCTGGACATCCACTAATGCTGTACGATTAATTGTTACACCCCTTGTTCTGTAATTTTCGCATTTTTTTGGATGAATAGTAAAAAAACTGCTGAAAATTTGTGAAGTCGAAAACGGCGTATTAGCACAATAATGAACTTGTTGATTTTTTGAGGGAATTTTGCGCTAAATACTGATTTTGAGCTGTTTATATATTAACACCTGAAGCAAAGCTCATTCTCTAATTCAAAGCTGCAATCTTTTGTTTTCGAAATCTTTTGAGCGGCTACAGCGAATAAAGCTACCGAGTTTAAGATATCCTTTGCACGTTGCATCCAATACAGTCTGAAAGGAGAGCGTTAATTATTATTTGCAGGGTGCGGTACAGGAGGCAAGGGCCTACCGCCTGTAACTGCAGGAGATAATTAGGAGCGCGAGTGTTGTGGAGAGGATTTAGCATGAATCCAGAAAAATTGCAATGATGAACGTTAAAAACAATCTTTACTACTTGCTTGAAATCACCTCTGAACGAATAAAGAAGATGTAGAACCACATTAATATGCGCGTATTTTAGATACTCTACTGGAAAGATAAACAACTCTATTTTGTTATAGCTCTGTTATTTTATACGTTTCGGACCGCGCGCGTGCGGCGAAAAAGGGGGGTACTTTCAGCCGTTAGCCAACAGAGGGACCTTAATTCGTATACTGTGTCCTACATCTGAATCAGCATGTCAGATAAGATTCATACCCAAAGTTCTGAGTGAATTCGAATTGTTTGAATTTTGTCGCCTGAGAAAGTCTTCTGTGCTTTCCCTGAAAGATAGGAGCAAGAACTCAGTTTCTAACTGTATCCAAAAGTATGTACGTTGTACACGATACACATCATTATAGGAACTATGGTTTTTCTGTTTGAATTCGAAGCAAAGAAAAGTTGCGAGGTCGCACGCGTCGTTCGCGTTGCCGCACTTCTTTGCAATTGTCGTTCGATTTGCGCTTATATCTCCCAAACAAGTACAGGCGGCACAATTTTACAGAGTCATCTGAGAAGTAGAAGCTTAGGACTTTGACTTGATGCCCTTGGACAAAAAGAAAACCTCCTGAAAATAATAAAAAGATCCTTGAAAGGCGCGTGCTGCACCATGTGCAGCACCGGCCCGAATCGTGTTAAAAAAAGGGATGCAAAACTCTTCAAACACTAAACACCAAAGATAAAATTGAAAAGTGGCAAGTGTAGCGATTCTTGAGGGAGAATAAGTAAAATTGTAGCTATTTTTCTAGGACTGTGCTTAGACTTAAGTGGTGATATTAGAGAATAAAATCAAAACTTCAGTGGGACCATGACGTAAACGGTTTGCTCAAATTTTTCTGTACATTCTTGAGAGTAACAACGGTTTCATTGCGTTGTGAAAATGTAATAATCTCAAGCTCTCTGAGGATGGAAGTGATTTGCGGTTACCAGCGGCTACAGGCGGTTACCCGAGATTACCGGTTTGGTATGAACACTATTGCCAGTTTCGCCCACTTTCGCGCGTATGTGACTTGAGTATAAATATGCCTCATTGAAGGAACATCCACGACGCAAACCCCGAATGCAGACAGTAACTCTCACACAAACGAGAATGCGTTTGAAACAGACTGCGTATACTTCTAACATATCAGAAATGGAAAAAAATTCAAAAAGCGTTCCATACATGAAAAAATTACCTTATCAGCTCCATCAACTCATTGACCTTTACTCTTTAACTCACAACTAGCCGAACTCTCTTTCGCAAGGTTTTGACTTACTAATCTACCACACTTTTGACGTCATAAATCGCTTTCTTCAACTCCTTGTTTTTTCCGAGATTATTTAGCCCGAAGTGAAATTTCAATGGGACGCTTACAAACAAAGTAGTATGCTCGTGCTTAGTACGTCAAGCAAACCTCATTACATTGCTTGACAAAATTCTTCAAATCTAATCTTTTGCCTCGTAGCTGTCGCAATCGTACCGTGTAACGCCAGCAACCACATTAGTCAGTTTGTAAGTAATCTTTTCAGGTTCTCTCTGAGCAGGTTTTGGTTGCAGGTTGTCATCCTCCTGCGAAAATACGATGTTTGAGCTTATGAAGCCACCAATGGACTATATTTTACGCAAAGAAACCCTAGTTGATTGAATTATATAGCACTGTCGCAAAAATTTCAGAATACGAATATGTCTAGGACAGCAGAGCTGGAACGTTGAGATTTTGACTGCTTAACGTAATTGCTGTGACTTCGTTTTTGCATCGAATTCAACTCCTCTGCTTCTCTAGGAAAACATGAATCATACAAATATTATTGAGCTATCTCCAAAGGCCAACGAAATTACGAATATCGTTTCATTTTGCAGAGCATGCCTTCAACACCCTTCGGACCGGTTCTGCACATGGCGCAGCACGCTGTTTTGAAGGATCTTTCTGACGTTTGCAGGAGGTTTCTTAAAGTCCGAAGTTATTGAGTCAAAGATCTAACCTACTTTTTAAATGACTCTGTAGAGCTGTGCCACCGGTATTTGTTTACGAGGTATAAGGATAAATCGAACAACAGTTGCAACGAAGTGCGGCAACGCGAACGACGCGTGCGACGTCGCAACTTTTCTTTGCTCCGATTTCAAAGAAATAAACCGTAGTTTCAAAATGGAGAGTACAGTGTACAACATAGATACTTTTAGATACTATTTGAAACTGAGTTTTTGCTCCTATCTTTCCAAAAAGCACAAAAGTCCCTCTCAAGCGACAATTAAGGTTTTCAAACGCTTCGAATTCACCCAGAACTTTGGGTATGGAGCTTATCTGGCATGCTGATTTCAGATTTAGTCCACAGTCTGCGAATTAAGGTTCCTTTGCTGCTAACGGCCGAAATTGCACTCTTTTTCGCCGCGCGCGATTTCGCGGTCCGAAATGTGCTAAGGGTAAGGCACGGTCAGGGCTTTGCGTATGCATTCGTCCCTCAACGAGAGTGGCGGTTGGAAGGCGACCGCTCGCTCCCAAGACAGAGTCTCCGTCTCCCTCGCGAGCGTGCTCTCGGATCATTTCCTAGCCCTCGATCTCCAATTTACAGCCACCAATCTAGTTGAGTCGAAAGATACGCCCAGGCTGTTTTATTATTTTTTTGGTCATCTAATTCCGTGAGCTCTTTTTCTTCGTTCTGAATTCCAACCAAATCAGCTTCTTGAAATTTTATAGTATAAATAATAAATTTAGTTCCTCGTTTTTTTTCGTTAGTTTCACTAGTTCCTCCTTTGGGTCTTTTGGGGTGCCCAGTGTCATCTTTTAATTAGGTAGCTATAAATGACTGGTAGCACGCAAAGACTGCGGATGTTTCGGCGCCTCTCCGATCAAGCGCTCTTCTGTTTCTCCTACCATCTGCTGTCTTTCCCATGCGCGAACTATCTTGATCGGACGCAGCGATGGCGAGTCTTTGCGGATCATGAATCTCGTATACATACTTCATAATTTTTTGCAATAGCACTGGCAAGCAAAAAAGTAGGATGTCCTTTTTTTTTCGAGGTGTTGCCAGGTCATGGCAAATGCTCCAACCTTTAGCACTACATAAGCTTAAATACTAACAAAATGTGTGCAGTGGCCGTCCAACCCCCTTTGATCCATCAGTAATCATTAAAAAAACAAAAAAAAAGATCATACGTTTGTCTTCCAAAACTTTCATTTCCGTCATATGGACAGACTTATAGATTCCGGAATGGATACAGAATTTTTTTTGGTGGGGGGGGGGAGTAGATTGAAATTTTAGATTTACAATGTAATTAAGAGTTACATGAGGAACCTCAACAAATCATGTAAAACTAAGGAAAAAAGATTTGCTGCTTTCGACTCCCAATAGTTTTTTAAAATTATTCAAGGTCCGATTCCTCATTGCTCACACCGTTTTGATGTATCATGGCTTAATTGTAAACAAGTTATTTGCTCGTTACGGTGCACAAATTAAGTACTGTATTTTTATCAAAAAGTACATCAGAGCTTGGAAATGTTGCCTTTGCAGAGAATGCATAAGTTTGCCTTTGTAGAGAATGTATAAGCGATGATGGGCCTTCAAAGTGGTGAGGTCCAGTGATGAGAAGGTGAAACGCAGATCTATATATCAGTTCGCAATCGATTAAAATGTTACTTTCCCTTTCAAGATTCGTCAATTAGTGAGGCGGATTCTACCTTATCTATCAATCAAGCCTGTCTTTCTTTTTGTCTTTGAAAGTTCATGTGTGATCGAGCCAGATTTAAATCTGTACGTCTCCGTCCTTGTCTTTGGTCTATAAACTAGTCTTGTTTTTTGTCTCTTACTACAGCTTTGCAGTTCCTGAATATCACTGACGAAGGGCATCAAGAAAGCTGCAGCGTCGACAGATTTCAAAGGCAGTGATATTAAATAGAATTATGCTTGACCAGCAAATGATTTTCGTTCATACAAAGCTCATAAACCCATCCTATTCTGGTGGTTGAAGAAACTCGACAATACTTGCCACTCAGCGACAGATATGTAATGTCAGTAAGGGAGATGTAACGCTCGCCAGTCTAAAGCATCTTTGCTTGAGTGATGACGTTCAAAGTCAGTAGACTCAAGCGCGCATGCAGTTCTAGAACCTCAACTTTTGAAACATTTGATGCATTGAAACGGTATTGAATTTGTTGTTGACAGAATAGCCATCTCTCTACCATCTTTCTAGGCTAAACGGCATTGCTTTGCTCAAACAAACCCTATCATCAGTAAATGAGAAGAAACCTGATGCTTTACATTTATTCAGCTAAAGTGAGTATAGGTGCACATAGGATAATCATACAAATTGCCCAATGAAGAGAGAGTTTTTATCCTTGGTGAGAATGAAGATGAATGGGTGGTCTGCGATGAATTTTTTGGGTTCTCTGCGGATCTGCCTCATTCTCAGTCGCTTCATTCCGATGTAAGTTGCTGCGGCTGCAGTTGTACCTTCCTCGTCAACCTATTCGAGCAGATTGTAGTGTTTGATTGAAACGATGATTGAGCAATGATACAAGCATAGACTAGTAATTTGTGATATAGTATTTTAGCGGTACTGACAGCACTTACAAGGAAAGGATAGGTGACCGTGGCCTTTCGAAATTAAACGTACACCATTGAATGCATCTTGAAGCGCTGATTCCAAATCTGTTCTCGTTATCTGCTGTGCGCTCTTCCGAAAGAAGTTATGAACATTTCTTGTCACCAAAATTTGCACTGTTTTTGATGCAGGATTCACCAATATCGTTGGAATGTTCGCTTACGCACTACCAAAAAGCGTACAAATAAAGTAAAGCTTCACGTTAAGCTCAGGAAAACTATCACCGATACATAAGAGTCTAAAAAGCTGGGTTTCTGACGATTTTGACTGCCTAAATCTCGCAAAATCAATATGGAAAAAAATCCATAACTTCGTTCAGGGAGTCGCACAGCAGGCAGTGAATATAGATTTAGAATCAGCGTTCCAAGACGCACCTACTGGTATACATCTCATTGCAAAAGGTCACGGTCACCAAGTATCCTTCCCTCGTTAGGCGTGAACAGGTCCCATGTTTGCAATGTTGAGAACGCAAGTCGTTATAAATTGCGCTACGACCATCTTTTCACGAATATTATCGGTAGGCATCACTGTTTCACCCATTTGCACCCACAACATGAAACAGTTTAAAACTTCTAGATTTTGCTTTGTTCATTAATTCAAAGCAACTCTTTGCTTTTGTTTCACTGTTACAGCTAATACAGAAGAGAAACGTGCCTCAATAAAAGCTCTATGCTTTGCGTCGGATACATACAGATCGTTTTCTGAAATCCCTGACAAATCGGCCAAATCTCTGTCGAAGAGGTCGGAAACACCCATAGCCAACAAAGCCTGTTTCAACTCATAATCCTTTTCAAGTTTCATTTTGGGAATTGATATCTGAAAGGGTGATGAAGACGGTTAGCCAAGAGTCTTTTTACTTACGTCTAAAAGCGTTGACTTCAGCCGTGAGAGCAGATTTTGAATCGTAGCTCCATCCAACTTTGTACGAAGCTCATCAATGCCGAATCTTTAAATATAAACTGTGTCTGACAGCATACCTTGACTAAAAACACAGACTACCTTTCCTTAGGCAGAAATATATTGAAAGAGTAGGATGTGTCTTTATAGGGTAGCGATAGGACTTGAACGACTTCATTCTCAGCATACATGCGATTTTTTCTGTACTCACTCATATAGCTTACCTAAAAGATTTACAACTCACAGCTGTTATATGTAACAGACGGGAAATCATAGCTTATCTCTACCTTTCCTTTATTATCTGCAGAATGATGAAATAAAGCCTCTTTTGTGGATTTCTTGTTAAACTCGTGATACCAATTAGCTTTGAAGTAAATTGCATTTACTATAAGAGCATCTGCACCTGAAACATAATCTCTCACCAAAAAAGGATAGTGACAAGAAAACGCACCTTCTACTGCATCACTTTTTATGAAGTTTTCGATTTTTCCATCAGTTTTTTGACTTACGAAGCTGTCGATAATCTCAATTAGGACTATTTCAATTCAAAATCACATGTTGTTCATTCTTCATACCTTAGCAGTATTTGCTGCCTGTCTAAAGTCGTACGCTTCGATTACAGCGCCATACTTCTCGGCAATCATTCTCGCATAGCTCTTTTTTATCGAAAATGTCTTGCTAAAAATAGGTCGATTTCTCGCTTTCAAAGTCAATTAGGTTTTGAAACACCTTTACAGAATCTTTTCTTCTTCGAAAACATAGGGTTTTATAGGGCGTAGACGTGTCATTGCATTCTCTACATTTCTTACAATCTTCCCATGCCATCTCAAGTGGAAATGTGGAAATTAAAAAAAAAACAAGAAGCATTTAGTGCAAAAAATAATTGCCAGATCCTTAATAGGAGCTAACTTTTGTAGGATATAATTTGGGTATGCAAAGAGGCAATTGAACAATCTTGTTCAGATGTTTTCTGATGAATAACGTTTCTTGTGAACAAGCATATATGGGACGAAAAGAAAAAGCAAGATTAAGTTGCTTTAGTTCTAATTCAGCGAACTGTGGTCAAACTTATCTCACTAGTTTCCGAGGGTTTTTTTTTGTAACTAGCCATATTTGGATAACACGTGAATTATAAAAACTGCTGAATAAATGAACAAAATACAATACCGAATAAAAGCTACAGCAACCTTGTAGTGCTCAAAATTTTTGCATTTTTAGTGCGATATAATCATCAGTGGCTACAATAGTTTCATGCTAGATGTCGTCACATGCCATGCAAGGTGCTGGAATGGCACCATCCCGACCTGTCACAAAGTAATGCGGCAAAATCTTGGGATTCGACTGCAAGATCTGGAATCGTAAATTCTCCGGTCGAAGGGATACCTCCGGCGGGCAAATGGCGCGAGTCTGCCACTTCGCGCTCTGGAGCGCTCCGGAGACCTGCCATTTCACGCATTTTTGTGCTCCGAGGCTCTCCCAAATCTGGCGCACCTCCGGAGCAGAGGTTTGCGGGTTTCGGAGAGGGGTTCCATTTGCCTACTTGTATGACGTCACCGTGATGTCAGGTGACGTAAAAGCAGGATGGGTGAAGTAGCAGGGCTCCGGAGCGCTCCAGAGCGCGAAGTGGAAGACTTGCGCCATTTGCCCGCCGGAGGTATCCCTTCGACTGTCTGAGTGGTACGCAAACTAGAAGATTGACTATACTAAATTGAGAACCCTGCAGTTCTTATGATTCCTGCAAATTTTGCATCGATGCCGCGCCAAAACGGTTTTAGTCATTACTGGAGATTATGGCAAAATTTCGAATAACTGATTTTGCAAATAGAATGTTATTCAACCCCCACATGGTCGGCCGCCTAATCATGGCGTGGGAGTGACACACTGGGCGTCGAACTGCGATGCACAGCCGAGTGTATACTCTGGTAGGGCCTCCCAAGCTGTGAAGGAGTTCGACGTTTTTGGTTTCGGCCATATGCCTAGCTAAGAACCGGCCACGCCAGATCCCCCGCCGTCTGGCTTCTTCTGATCGCTAAGCGATCCGGCGTTGGCCTAGTAAGTCTGCTCTTGTAAGGTAAACATTTTTATTACTCGATCAGCAAAGAAGAGAAATAAATCCTGCACATCGGATCCCGCCTACGGCGCCGGGTGGTAACAAGAACGATGTCAGGGTAATCAGGGCGCCTTTTGGATTGGACAAAAACGACACGTCTGCCCGGACGAGACGCCATGCAGACTGCCTCATGCTCTGCACCTACAACGCCAGGACAGTCTCCACAAACGCCGACCTCCACGCTCTTCTCGACGCTGCAGAGCACATCAAGTACCACGTCATCGCTCTGCAGGAGACGAAGTCTAGGAAGAAGGACGTGCGACACATGTCTGATGGGACATTCATCATTCGTGGTGAGAATGTTCCATCACGAAACGTGGGAGGTGTTGACTTTGAACGTCTATCCATCTATCGTCTATCTTGTCGATTCGCATGAGATCCTATCATCGAATAGTCTCCTACGACTGCGACCTCCACATCAGAAGACCATCAGCATCATCAGCTGCTACCCAACATCAGCAGCTGACGATTCAGAGCTAGATGCTTTCTACGAAGACGTGGAGCAGGTCGTCCGCAACGAGAAGTCCTTCTACAAATTCGTTGTGGGCAACTTCAACGCGAAGATCGGGATGCCATTAGAAGAGGAATATAGGATAGAGAAGTTTGGATATTGGGCTCCGAAACGGAAACGGCAACCGTCTTGTTGGGCTTCTCTCTGCCGCCGACTTTTCCATGGGGATTCCATCTTCATGAAGCAAGAACATCGCCGGTGGACTTGGGAGTCACCCAACGGAACGATTCACGCGGAGAACGACCACATTCTCACCAACCGAAGGTGGAGCTTGCTCGATGTCTCAGTAGTTCGATCCTTCTGCAGTCAGTGGCGTACCCAGGATTTCGGCTCGGGGGGCGGGCGCGGCAAAATTTTTTTTCAAATGAGATTGCGTGGCGTTAGCCACGCACTCCAAAAAAATGTTAGGGGGCTTCTCAAAATTTTTGCGGGCCCCCAACCCCTAAAATCTGGAAAAAGGGGGCGTGGCTTCAGCCATGCCCCCGAAAAAATTTTTTCATAAGGCTAATTTGAATTTTTAAAAAATTTAAAAAATTGTGTCACAGTGCCGCGAGAAGGAAGGAAGTCGTCTATGACGGTAACAGGCTGGAAGAGCTCATATCAAGTTGTGACTGGTGGCCCATCGAGGAGGATCCAACGTACGACTACGACCGGCTTCTGAAAGGATTGCGAGCTTGCGGAGAATGCGCCTCAGTGACTTCTGAGAAGAACTTGGAACGCATTTCGAAGATCACCAAGGAAATGCTCGAAAGAAGAAGATTTCTGCGGCAGGAATGCAACCCGTCTCAAGTGACTGATAGCCAACGCCAGTTGCAGAACAGCTTTGCAGGAGGATCTCGTGAAGTACAGACGAGCCAAGATAATGGAAGCAGCCGAAGGAAGACGAAGTCTCAAGAAATGCCGAAGGGACCTCTGTGAATACCATGTACCGCTGGCTGCACTATTGAACGAAGACTGGACTCCGACTTCTTCCCGATACAGGATTGAATCTATTGCGAAGAACTTCTAGACCAACCTCTTACGCTCATCAACACCCGTGCCGATGCCCGTTGTTCCCACTGGAGAAGTACCACCAAGGATTCTACCTGCTGAAGTGCGTTTGCGATACAGACCATGAAGACGTCCACGGCTTCAGGGCCAGATAATCTTTTCGTTGAACTTCTGCGAGCCGGAGGACACCATCTACACGAGGTTCTAACATCGCATTTAACATCTTACCTTCAGAAGGAGAAGATTCCCGACCAGTGGAGAACATTGAGAACCGTCCTCCTCTTCAAGAAGGGCGAACGGGAGGATCTTCGGAACTACCGTCCAATAGCCTGCTGAGTGTGCTCAATAAACTTTGCAAGAAGATTATCCTCGCTCGCATATCTGGGACACTGGATGAAGCTCAACCCCAAGAACAAGCTGAATTCCGCAAGGGATATGATCACATCCAGACTGTTTCGAGGGCCATAGAAGTCTGCCGGGAGTACCGACTGCCTCTCGTCCTAACCTTCGTCGACTACGAAAAAGCCTTTAACATCGTCAAAACTAACGCCATTCTGTCTGTGCTAGTCGATCAAGGAGTGAAACCAGCTTACGTGAGAACATTTGCCGACTGCTACAAGGACTGTACAACAACGATGCAGCTATTCCATCGCCCCCTGATCATTTCGATCGGGAAGGGGGGTTCGACAAGGCGACATTATTTCGCCGAAGCTGTTCACCGCGGCCTTGCAGTGGGTGATGAAATCACTGAAATGGGAAGAGAGGGGCATACGATTTGATGGGATTCCTCTCCAACCTTCGTTTTGCGGATGACGTCATTCTGTTCTCGAGCAGTATCACTGAAGCAGAGACGATGCTGAAGGAACTAAACGAAGTAGGGAAGAAGATCGGATTGCGAATAAATCGGAAAAAGACTCAGTTCATGAGAAACGCCCATTGCGAAGATGCAAAAACGGAATTGGAAGCCGCCTTCGGGCCTCTGAAAGCCACCGACCAACTGACGGACCCGGAGCTTTGTGCCCACCTGTTCGACTCAAGCGTTCTCCCGGCGCTCTGTTACGCAGCTGAGACTTGGGCCGACACTGTAGCTACGTCGAAAGCTTTACGGACTACCCACCGAGCGCTCGAGCGCAGTCTTTTGAAGACGACCCGACGCAAGCAACATCTAGTCAGACTTCGCAGTACGGATATGAGAAGATTGTCCCGTCTTCGTGACCCAGCGGATTACGTTGCGAAAGTGAAACATCGAGAAGCCGGGCAATCATGAGAAGAACAGACAACAGATGGACACTAAGAACATCTGAGTGGATTCTTCGGAAAGCCAAACGTCCTCGAGGAAGATCACCGACGAGATGAGCAGACGTGTTCGTGGAACGGATGGACCAGCTGAGAAATTAGCTGGATGCGATTTTTGCACCTGGAACTCGTGGACCCAGCCACCGACTTCAACCAGGAAGATCGTGGATTTCTGAAGTGAGGGACAGGGATCGAATGGAAACTTTTGTGCCGAAGCCCGCACGCCACGTAAAGACGGGCCATCTAAGTACTTAGTAAGTAAGTAATGTTGTTCAGAGTCATCCTATTCATATTGATAGCATATACTCTACGTCATTATCCTCTATATCTTTTCGCAAAAATAGGATTTATCTTTTTTGGATCTACATGTAATTGTAAAATACAGGAATGAGGGAAAATCCTTGAACAATATTTGATGACCTTGTATGTTCGGTTTTCCGACATACTCTTGTATGTTAATTACATTCCTACCATTACCTGCTTCTTATACTCTCAAGTACAAGCCCTTTAAAAACTGAACTATTAGCTCTTTTATCCTATTGGAGATATGTCTTTTGGAAGCGTTAGTGGCGAAGATGCAGAGGAGAGGATGGCTGACCAGCATATTGCGCGGGTTCCCCAAATTCCACAGATCAGCACCTTGTAAGAGAGAGCATTGTCATGCTCTGTTTCTTTCACGGTTCTGACTCATCTAATTGAGGGCGTGCTCTGGAGTGATGGACTCGAGAGAGACTGGGAAGCTGGGACGCTGGGCGTCCGCCAACGACCCGGAACTACTCACCTCGGGTTGCTGTTTGCCCGTCAACTACGACATTTGACTCCGCGAATGGCATACTGATACAGTCGTATTCATATACCGCCGGCTGTTTCGAGAGCTAATGAAGCTTTCCACCTTACTCACCTTTATTACGTGTCCTCTCCGCGGGCGCTGCTCTTACTGGTAGCAGCGAGTTGGAACCGACATGGATGGACGGCTACCCAGGTGAGCTTTGAACACAACTTCACAGCTAATACTGTCGATTACAAAATTGGCCATTTTGTGAGCCGATATGCTCTAATTCATTCTCCGTTGTGTTCGCCTAGTCTCTTTCAACTTATTGGGTGCTAGCTAGCTCTTGTTCGGTGGGGTGTCGCGCAGACGTCTGCAGTACATATTCCTTTCTAGTGCCGCCAAATCCGTAGGGCACGCCGAAATGGTGTTCGATCCAAGTTGTGTATAACTAGGGTAGCGCCCTAGGTTCCGCTTTTGAATGTTATGAGTGCAGCTGCATATTTTTGGGGGATGACCGCGAGTCGCTTTCAGAGCCTCGACGTCGAACATTCGGTGCAGAGGAGATTCAAGGACCAAAGACGGCGGCGATCCTCAGTTTATCACAATCCAAAGGTCCCTAGATGAATACCCGGGTAGGCAACCTCTTAGCTCCTCCGATTACACTTGTGGTACTAATACTCTCCTGGCTTGCGAAACCAGGAAGGGCAATCATGCCCCGTTTTCGACTTCATACTAGCCAATTCACGTAGTTACACACCGAAATCTAACCTCCACTCTTTTAATTTTTGCACAGTTAAACTCCATGTATTTCCCGAGTGAACCCGCCGAGTGCGTCTATTGAACTAATCGTTGCATCAAATATCATCAAAACACATCAGTTAGCTACAAAATGACCATACAGACCTCACATTTTAGTTGCATTCCGTATCTGCACTAAATCGTCAAGTCCTCTTCAGAAATCTAGCGAGGCCACACCACAACGGTAGCACAACGCAAGGTACACTGATACTCGTTGGCAAAAATCAGTTTTATTCTTGCTGCACAATTAGTGCCCCATTTCCGTACCGAATCACAAAAAGACTTTGCAGACGTTTTAGTCTATTGTTAAAATTATAGATCACCTCAAGAATGTTTGCCTTAGTTATATCTCAAGGAATGCTTGCATTAGTCACTGAGAGCAGCCATTGTGCGCGCAAAAAAGAACCTATTTCCGCAGCTGGAAGTAGCTGAGGGTTCCTTTGCCTTTTGGCGCTCGCGACATGATGCATGCATCCTGTGCAAAAAGTTGACCGTCTGCTCCTCTAGCGCGAATAGCCGCAGCTGGCGACAATCTTCGCATACTTCTGGTTTTTCACCAAGGCCTCGCCCCAGCCGGAGGCTCCACGCTTCATTTCGATTTCAATCGGTCACATCGAGCGCCGGTTCTCTCCCTGAGCTAGATCCTCATTTTTCCACAGGCATCTCTTGTCTCTTCGTTCGCGTTGACACCACTTCCGATTTTTTCAAGCATCTAACATAGACATCTGAAATTTTCTCTTTTCAGATCCCATGGGTCCTCCGACTACTCGCGCTCGCACTCCATACAATCCCAGGGCCAGAAGCCAGACTTCGTCAGAAGCTTCTGGCAACTTTGCCAATGCGATCACGGCCTCGTTATCCGATGTGGGCGACGACACGTTTGTGCTCGGTCGTGACGCCAAGACCCTACGCGACGCCACCGCCCAGGCAATCACTGAGGCCTGGAAGAACTCTAGCGGCGACGTCCGCTTTGAAGCAGGTAAATGACACATATCAGACCTTGTTGAACGGCTTCAACAGATCATTCACTGCTGTAGGTCAGCGCATCGACCAACTCCCTACGGCCCCTCACGGTCCGGAGGGGACGCGCTTACCCGATGTCCCTTATTTCACAAGAGCAAACACTGATCCAACTCCTTTGGTTTGCCTGCGCCGCTTTGAAGACGTACAAAACATGCGTACAGTCGCGCTCACGCCGAAACTTAAAGCGTATTACCTCATAGGCTGTCTAGATGGGGCTGCGCGCAATAAAATCGATGAGCTGACCGCCGAGCAGCGCCGGGACTACGATACTGTAGTCGCAAACCTCGCCAATTACTACGACGGCCCGCACTTGCGTAATTTAGCGCGCAGATCGCTGTCGGTTTGCACAGGCTCCCCGGGGAAACGGCAGCGTGCTTCGCGGATAGGATTTTCCAGCTAGTACGCGCGGTCAACCCTGCGCAAGACCCGACAAGGCAGCAAGAGCGCATGCTTGAGGAGTTTGTTGTGCGGTCACGCCCAGGCGTTAGATATCAAGTTGAGCTCTCGGAGCTCGCGACGTTCCAGCAAGCCGTAGCGAAGGCACGCATAGTAGAAGAGTTATCCCCCAATGCTGATCACTCCGCGCACTCACTGCTCGCCTACCCTACTCTAGCGATCAACGCGGTAATGCCAAACAGATCTGGAGCCCGTTCAAACAAAGCCGCTTTGCAGTTCCGTAGTTCATCACCCAACTATAGCCGTTTTCAGCGCAACGGCTCGCCACTGTGACGACGTGATGATCGACGAAATGGTATTCCTGAACAAACTAAATGTTATTCTTGCAGCGAAAGAGGCCACATGGCCCACCAGTGCCCTGCGACGCACCTCCGCACGAGGGACAAAGGTAGGCAATTGCACTTTAAACGCTCTCGTTCTCCTCGTGCATCCTTCCGTCGCCCATCTCCTCGCGTCATGAATATCGCTACACCAAATCAGTCTGCAGCATTTTCGGATGCTTGCAAGAAAATCAAGAGTTTATTACTATTTCTGCAGGCCAAGCAAACTGTCCTTGATGATTCAGAAGCGCGCATTTCTGCTCTCGTGAAACGTAATGATGAACTTGCAAGTACCTCCTATAGCGCTACACCCGCAACCAACTCCATCGTAAATCTACCTGATGTTCGCATGCTGATGATGTGCACTTTATTTTGCTTATCTATCTGTGGCACCCTCAGCTTTGATTCTCCGGCATGGATCTGCCCTAAGCAGGCGTCTGACACATTAGCGCGTATTCCTATGTCGTACAACTGTTTACGCATTATTCCAAAGGTCAACTCGATCCCGAAACCACTATCGGTTTACATATTTCGCCCGAACACCCCACGTTATGATACTCCAGCCTCGTTGTGCAAAATCGTCACGCGCACAGTGCATTTTCGCGTTAATCTTTTTGGCGCGCTTTCGAGGAGCACTCCGAGAAGCATGAAATCGTTGCTGTTGAGGCATGCAAATGTTTTCACATCATAAATGCGAGCGTGGCACACTCTCCGCCAAAGACGACGTTTGGGCAACCTCCAACCAAATACATATTGAGTGGCCTTCGACACCTTTCGGTTGTTGCGTTACCCATACACTTTCGGTTTCGAACTGCTATCTCATCTCCACCTTCATTCATGTGCGACACGGATCAGCATACGCATCGGTAGAGGTATGCGTGACTACCCTTACTCTTCCGCACATTGCGTAATGTCCGATGGTTCCGCGCTGATATGGGCCCCAAACCAAGAGGAATCTTGTCAATAAATTCCGGTCATTAGTATGGTGGGACACAGAATGGGCGACAAATGGATAAGCGACTCTAAGAAGTTTGCGCTGTCTTGGCATGAAGATAGCGCACAACAGCGAGTGCGATAAGCAGCTCATGATCCCGGATCAGGGATACGCTGTAATTTTTTAAGCGACGTCGCACACGTTCATCAGACGCGGTCGAGGCGTAGTTACTACCAACCAACTGGCAGCTCAACTCCTCGCTATTGAAAACAATGTGCAGCTGGCCGTTGCTTCTCTCTTCCATCATGCGATTTCCTCGCTGTGCGACCGCACGAATCTGGCTGTTGCTCTGCATTCTTCACTTTCTATCAATCCAACTTTCACTATGCGTAATCTGCTCGATCGCCAAGACCTGGCAGCTGCTACCTCGGGAACCTCGTCCAAATCCACCGGTGCCTTGCGGTACCTCCTGGCAGCTATAGAGTTGTCCCTTTCAACGGCGTTTGCTACTCAAACCGCGGGTGGATGTAACCCTTAAGAGTGGAGCAACTCTATAACGGTTTATCGACCGTCAAACCCTTGTCATATCCAAAAAGGCTACCGCAGTTGATAGCGAATCCTCCTCGTTCTTCTTCTTTTCCGTGCAGGGAACGTACCATAGGTTTGATAGCGCCACTGGCAAATTTACATTCCCTCCATATGTTCAAATCACCACACCACCTCATCTGAATTCGTCCTCATTGGCGCTGCCTCTCACCATCTTCCACAACCTCGTTCTAACTAACCTTACGGAAATCACCCAAGACCATCAGCTCCAAGAGCTGTGGTTGTCAGTCAATCAGGAGCATATTCTGAGCTTGGACAACCCTTCACCTTCGTCAAATGCTCCTTTATCGCGCTCTACAGACTCGCAGTCCTCTCTCTTCTCCCTCATTTTCGGGTCGTGGTCCTTGTACGACGTTTGGATTTCCATTTGTTCTGCTTTCGTTACCTTCCAATTAACCAAAACAATAGTCATTGCTTATATCAGCATAGCCTATCCGGTGTTAGTTTCACGTATTTCTGAAATCTTCCATCTAGATTCAAATCGACCACATGCTCCCTTGCCTGCGTTATCTCCAAGTGCCGTCATGCATTCTGCATTCTCAGCCTCCTCGGGTTAATTCCCTCGAGCTTTTTCCAGTATTATTCGACGCAACATCGGTTTGGCCCCCTCGCGCCTCATTCTCTTTCCTCAGTATTCTGGCGATTCAAGGAAACCGAAGTTTCTTCGTTGCGCAAATCCCTATCAAAGTAAACAATATCAATATGCGCTCTCGTCGACACGGGAACGGCTATCACAGTCACATCGAACTCTACGCGGCGTTACTGGGATTTTCTCTTTTCTTCCAAGTGACATCCCGTCAGCCCTGGGCATGGCTGGCATTCCAATAGAGCTAGTTGGCCTCGCCCTCTTACAATTCCAGATCGGTTCGCTAACCTTCACGCATCCAGTCTACCTCTCTAAAAACCCCATGTGCACCGAAATCTGCTTGTCCTTTCACATCATATTGGGCAATAATCTTCTTTCTCGTCTCCCGGCTCGGAGCTTCAGCTACAGTCAGAAAATTTTCCATTCGCTGACGAGCAGATAAACATTTTGTGCCCCGCTCTTCCATCTCCCCCAATAATCGAAACTACTGTCCCAGTTCGCGTTGCGAAAACCACGGTACTCCCGCCAAACACCGAAACGTTTGTTCCGTGCATATTCAAAGTGTTGGACGCCATTTCGCTGATTCTGACGTCTCAATCAGCGTCAATTACGGATAAGTCCCTCTTGGCGTCACCGGCAGTGATCAACGTTGGTAGGTCTCAAGTTCTCGTCTCCAATCCATGTCATTTTTCGCACGTGTTGTATCAAGGTCAGCATATCTCATCCGCTCTTTCTCTCATAGATAACGATGATACGTCCCCACTTAGGCCGACACTCTGCCCCTAACAAGAGCCCTCTTCCATCAGTTATGGCTGCCGCGGTCAGTCGCGATTCCAGCAACAAATTCGAAGTCGATCTTTCCCAAGCCGAGATCACGGAACGTGAACAATTGCGAGCGCTTTTCGATGAGTTTAGCGACAGGATATCCCAAGACTCTTACGACCTCGGATCGTATGAGGATTCAGTTATTCATATCCGGACAAGATCCGAAGTCTCTCCCACGCGCTTTAGGCCACCCCGGGTACCAATCAAGTTCCAGAAGGAATTAGACGAACTAAACAAATTGCTTCGCGCAGGTAGAATCATAGAGAGCGATACCTTGGATACACAACACTGTCCTCGTGCGTAAAAGGGATGGCTCTCTTCGCGTCTGTCTAGACTTTCGTCCTCTGAATGAGATCACCATCCCATTACCCAATCTTTCGCATCGATGACATTCTGGCTAAGGTTGCAGGCCACAGGTACTATACCACTCTCGATTTGGCCTCCGCTTATATGCAACTTCTCCTTTCACCAGAAAGTCAAGGGAAGTGCGGTTGGATTACCCACAGGGGTATTTATCAATTTGTTTATCTACCACTTGGACTCATAAACGCTGGAGCATACTTTTCTCGCGCCATGTCGCGCATTCTGTCTCGATGACAACTGCTTGGCTTATCTGGACATATTGCCATTTTCAACAGGGATTTTCCGAGCCACTTAGCCTCTTTACGTAAAGTTTTTTTGTCGATTCCGTCAACTCAACATCAAGGTTTCAGGCAAAAAACTCACCAGCATAGCGCGTACCAAAATTACCTTTTTAGGACATAAAATCTCATGTCATTCTTACTACCCCGCCGACCGCAACCTGCAAGCTATCCACAACTTCGCGACTCCAACTACCATCAAGGAAGTCAAATCATTTGTCGGTATGGCAAATTTTTTTCGTAAGTTTATCGCAAATTTTTCCTTGATAGCCGCGCCACTTTACGCCATGTTGAAGGATAAAGCCAAATTTGTTTGGGGGACCAAACAGGAGGAAGCCTTCCAACGCTTGAAATGCGCTCTTTTGTCAAAGCCATGCCTAGCCTTCCCCGAAGATAAGGAGTTTTTCCTTTACACGGACGGAAGCCAGGTAGCAGTAGGGGCTGCGCTCTTTCAGAAGAACAACGATGGCGATAATTTGGTAGCAGCGGGCTATTACAGGAAAACCCTTTCCTGTAATAGCCCGCTGCTACCAAATTCCCCGAGTCGCAACAAAAATAGAGCCCAACGCATATCGAGCTATTTGCAATCATCAGCGCGCTCCGTTTCTTCCTTGCGATCATATACGGTAACCACACTACGATCTACTCAGACCACCGCCCTTGACTTACTTACTGAAACACAACAAGACGCATGAAAACCTAGCGCGATGGGTAATAGAGCTCCAAAGTTATGACATTTCTATAGAAAACCATAAGGGCTCGTCTAATGTAGTAGCAGACGCTTTCTCGCTAGCGGTTCCCAAACGTGTTCGCTTTCGGGATAATAGCCTAGAATCCAGTGACATCATAGAACGGTAAGCAGCTTCCGGTAAGCATTAACAACCTGTTACCCTCCAGCCCGTACTCTCTCCACCCCACAACGGTATACATAGGGACCGTTACAATCCGCCCTTATGACGCCCTTATAGAACAAAAAACTGGTGAGCTTTGCTCTCCTATCATGACCTTTTTATAGACTCAACGCTTTCCATCAAACCTCCCTAACACTGAAGAGGACTCCTGGCTTAAATTAGCTGAACATTGTGTTATTAAGAGCAACGGTTTGTACTTTGTCGACCCTGATTCAAAATCTAAATCCCGCTATGAACGCCTCGTCGTCCCCGCAAAGCTCAGAGAGCCTATTCTCTTGGCGCTTCATTCTAGTCCGTCGGCCGGTGGCCATTTCAATTGGCGTAAAACCCTAAGCAAAATTGCCCGCAAGTAGTACTGGCCGCATATGTCAGAAAAATATAACAAATATTTCAAGCTGAGTCCGGTCAGAATTTCTTCCTCTATCCGCTGTCGCTCCCAATGTATTTCGTCAAGAGAGATGATTTTTGTCCCAAAATATACGGTTTTGCAACGCAAGGTACGCCAATGCGCACTTGTAAACCCCCCCCCCCCTCAAATTCCGCGTGTTTTCCGAGGAAAGAGAATTGTTAAAAAAAGAATAGCTGCATTTAATGGTACCTGAACCGTCTACCTATTCGTGTCCTACGTGGTCAGAAT